TATATATATATATATATATATACGTATATATTGATGCCGCTATATTGTCCCCTTATCAATGTTTACTACATCTCCCTTTGTGTATAATTCCCATGTTTTTTCTCTTTTTTTTTCTTCCAGTATGAATACATTTTGTATGAAATATATATACTATGAACTTCAATGATGTGATGTGAATGGGGGAGGCTCTATTGTGGAAGAAAAGTAAAGAAAAAAGAAAAAGAATATCCCTTCAAATGAGAAGAATTTTGAAAGAAACAGAAAAGAAGATGAGATGCAATACCGATTGAAAGATAGAAAGTAAAAAAAAAAAAAAAAAAAAAAGATGAGGTTTTTTATTAATGTTGATGAGAAAGAGAGACACCATTATAAATTATAATGGTGTGGGTATGTTTCTTTTTCTTTTTCTTCCTTTCTGTTATTGCATATATATATATATATATATATATATATATAATTCAGTAGAAGGAGAGGGGAAAAAAGGAATAATTAATAGTGTGTCTATTCACTCTACTTTTTTTTTTTTCTTTCTTTCACCCAAATCGTTTAATAAAGAAATTAGTGAGAAGGAACGAAAAGCGGTGAAAAAACACACACTGTCAAGACACATATAAAAAAACGCATAGAAAAGAAAACAAGAAAAAAAAGGAGGAGAAAAGTAAAGAGAGAAATGTTGGAAAAAAAAAAGAATGAATGAAAAGAATGGAATGACTACAATAAACTGACAAAGATAAAGCAGTTTAAATGTCTCTCTCTCTATATATATATGTCATCATTCTTTTTTTTTTTTTCCTTCTTTCCTCTTGTGGTTTCCCTTTTATTATTATTTATTATTTATTCCCATTGCATGTTCTTCTCTCTACCCCCACACTCTCTCTTCTTCATTACACCCTTTTACCGGTCACGTACCCATATATATATATATAAACCAACTCACAGACATGCAATGTGCGAACCGTTGCCAAGAAATCAAACCATCAAACAAACAATAACATCCTTCACTCAGCTTTTTTTTTTTTTATTATCTATCTATATATATATATATATATATATATATATGTGTGTGATTGTTGTAATGAGTAGTAGTGGTGGTGATCGTTGTTCTTTTACTTTCTCGTTATATTTCACATGGTAAGAGTATCATTAATGGACTGCTGTGTGTTTAATGACATGAGCTGTATTTGTTTATTTCTTCTTTTTTTCACTTATCTAAATAAGGGGGTCACAAACGCTAAGGGTGGGTGGGGGAAACTAGAGGGTAAAAAAAAAAAAAACACAAGATAAAAAAAGAAAAGAGCAGCAATACATAAAAAAAAAGGGAAATTCCTTCCCTTCCTTTTCTTTTTTTTTCTTTTATTTTTGTTTAAACAAAGATAAAAAGAAAAGTCGGAATTAAGAGAAAGGTATATATATATAAACATGCTGCGTTGTACACTTTCTCGCTTTAAACTCAGGCGTAAGCGAACACCGTATGTGCAGAAGTTTCTCGAGGGTTGTCCGCTTCCCACCACACTTGTGGATGATCTCGCCGGGGCGAATTTAAAATCCTCCACCCCGTTCTTCTCAACATCCCCACGGTATATCGTACCAGCAGAGAAGCGATTATCAAAGTTATTCTTTCACCATGCACTTTATCCCGCAGGCGGGGCACGACGGCCGTATCGTGTGGTGATTGTTCGTAATGGACGCGGTGTGCGGAATCCTGTCGGTGTGGCATTAAATACTTCTACAACTTCTCATGTTTCTTCCACTGCTAGAAGTAGTGATAGTAATAATAATAGTAATAGTGGTAATAATGATAATCATCATCATCTTAGTCTTGGTAATAATGCGGGGGATTCTCATCATGTATGGAAAGACCCAGCTCGGCGGCCGTTTTTTTATTCTCGACCATCTGTTGGAACCCCCTCCGGTATTCACCAGAGTGCCAACAACAACAGAAGTAGAAATAATAATAATAATAATAATAATAATAATAATAATAATAATAATAATAATAATATAGGCTCTGTAGTGAGACCTGGCGAAGATACCTTATTGGCACCTTTGTGTGGAGTTGTGGAGAATCATTTCGCGTCCATTCTAAAACAGGAGCGATGTACTTTGGATGATGAAACCCAAGAAATGACAGATTGTACCGCAAAGAGAGGAGTTTTTATGGAGGAGTTCACAGAATTATTAAGTGCTGGGCATGGTGGAATTGTGTTTGGGGGAATTGAAGAAAAAAACGATAAGAAGACGGCTGGCTCTTGTGAAGGTCGTACTCTTGTGGAAGGACTCCTTCACGATGCGGCGTCTTTTCCCTTTTCCTTCTTCCACGTACAGATCCAACTTCCCTCATCCGCTACCTTTATGCGAAAAGTGGTGAAATCCACAATGGCTGAATTGCCGTCATTATTCCCATTGAAAGAGGGACAAGAAAAAGAAAAAGAAAAAAAAGAAGAAGAGAAGAAAACAATGCCGTTAGTGGCACATTTAGCGGGTGGTTTGGAACCAACAGTGCCGTTTGCTGTTGGAGTACCATTATTAGTGCATTCTAAAGTAAAGAAGGGTGATGCTGAAGAAGACAAAGTTCGTACGGAGACGATAATGCCATTTGGTCATATTCAATGTCTTGTGCGAGTGCGCACTAGAGGCGGCAAACACTCTGCAGATAATAAACGAATCTCTTCTTCCACCAATGTTGTATCTACATCATATGATGAGGCGTCATCCTTTCGGCAGGAGTCCAATACGAATGCTGCATCCACACATAATAACAGGCATCTCTCCATTGATGGTAGGAGTCATTATATCCCTACTGCTACTGCTAGTGCTAGTAGTACCGTTATGGAACCTTGGAAACTAGGCGTTAGCTTAGATCCCAAGGTTCCTTTTCATGTTCGCACCATAACAGAGAAGCGACCAGCTGCTGTTATTGCAAACACCACTAATAATGGTAGTAATAGTAGTAATAGTGATGATGGAACTTCATCTTTACCAAAGATGTTTGAAAATAGATTGGGAAGAAGTGATTGTGAGACATATCTTCTACCGCAGCGTGAACTACTCCTTTCTTTTCACGCACCGGAGGAAGTCGTTACAATGTGTGCAAAGCAGAATGAAGAACGCTTAAAACGACAAGTTACATTAGGTTACAGTGGCCCAACTCATGTATTTGCAGAGGGTCCACGTACAGCAACACGTATTCTACGAGATGCCCATTGCAATCATACAACAGCGGAGGCAGCTGCCGCACGGTGTCAATATAATCATAATTCCCCACAAGATATTAATGAAGATCAAGATCATTTACATCAGAATACCGACAAAAGGAAAGATCCTATCGTATATGATGTTCGAGCATTACCAGGTGATGTTGTCTTTATTCCTCGAGGGTGGACATATACGGTAGAACGTATTATAGGTACAGCCGTCCTACATGCGACTAGTTCGACCCATACTACTAATACACATACTACTAAGATGACTGCCCCTTCACTTAAACTTGAATCCTCATCACAGAAGTTTGTACATGCTGTCTCAACTCCTCCGGCATTAAGGGCGGCATTTATTAACACTACCACTACTACTACCACTCCTACACCACAACAAGTGGGTGGACGGCGTGATACATTTATGGGTACGGAAGCAAAAAACGAAGCAGAACTAGTGGGGGAATCAGCCGTAGAGAAAAAGGAAGAGCAATCCTTGAAGAAGGCCACAAGTGAAGTTATTGGTGTGGATGTGGAGGCTTTTCTACTGTGTTACAGGCCTTATCCAGTGCTTTCTCCACAACAGGCTGCTAACTATGTCTCAGCTAATTACGTCCATAGCGGGGTTGAGGAATTCTATACCAAAGGGGGGAATGACATTTTCCACAAGTACACATGATAAATGGTACACAAGAAAAAAATATTGCATCCATCACAGATATATTGCGAGATAACTCCAGAAAACAACAACAATCGTTTATTCTTTTTCATACATTTATTCATTCATATATGTACTTGTACTGTTACCTTGTCCCATTCTCATTCTCACTCTCATTTCCAATTCTCCTGTTATGTTTTAACTTAACCACATAGATCTATTCCTAAAGAGCTCTAGTAACTTTCAAATAAATCATCCAAACTACAACCACTACAATTGCATTCCAATAAAAATGGCTTCCTTTTCAGTTCGCGTTGAAAAGTTCGGCCCTGGAAAGCTGATCCGTGTTCATACTCCCGCCCTTCGCTGTGCCTTTGCTACACTTGGGGCCGCCATCAACTCCGTGAAGGTGTGGGATGCCCGCCGCTCACGTTGGGTGGAGGTGAACTGTGCCTACAATTGCCCGGAGGAGGCGGCCGCAGATACAGACTACATGGGACCCACCGTGGGGCGTTATGCTGGCCGCATCAGCAATGGCACATTCACACTAGATGGTGAAGAGCAACACGTATCCCGCAATATGGATGGTCGTCATACCATTCATGGTGGTGCGGATGCCTTTAACAAGCGTCAGTGGTCGTACTTCATTTTGGAGTCGGAGGATATTGTCGGTGTGCGTTTCAGTCTTGTTTCTCCGCACATGGACCAAGGATTCCCAGCAGAATTGCACAGTTACGTCTTTTACTATGTGGAGCGAAGCAAGCCGAATGTGTTGCACACGAGGTTCTCCGCCTTTATTCCAGAAGGATCACCAGCTGATGCCACCGTGGTGAACATCTTCAACCATGCCTACTGGAACCTAAACGGTCTACCAGAAAGGAACACAGCAAGGAACCCACGCTGGACACAGCCGGAGAAGGTTCTCAACATTGTACTCAAAATGCCATGCAGCCGCGTTGTGGAGGCAGATACTTGTGGGATTCCCACCGGTAATTTAAAGGATGTCACTGGCACTTGCCTGGACTTCCGCAAGGGTAAGCCACTTGGTGAGGATATAGACAACAAGGCTACTCTGAAGTGTGATCCCTGTGGTTATGACCACCCTCTGGTGGTGGACGGATGGAAGGAGTCGGAGAAACACAAGCTTCTACTCAACGCAGTGGCCTACAGCCCATCATCACATATTCAGATGAAGGTGTATTCCACGTTCCCAAGCATCTGGGTCTACACTGCAAACAATAAGCCGGCAAATGTGAGTGGCAGGAAGGGAGAGCGGTATGGACGTCACACCGGTGTGTGTCTGGAGCCCCAGCACCTGCCGGACTGTCCAAACCAGCCATCATTCCCATCTGTGGTGCTTCGCAAGGGAGAGACCTGGCGTGAGGCTATAGTGAACGAGTTCAACGTTGTGAGCGACTCCCACATGTGAGAAAGATAATCACTTCATAGTGGAAGGAAGAAGAAAAAAAAGAAGGGAATGGGGGGATTACTATTATTATTATTATTTGCTGCCTAGATAACCTCAGAAAGGAGTGAAACTTGCAGAAAACACATGGGCAAGAGAGAAATCAAAAAAAATAAGTTGATAGGGAAAGTAAGCGCAAAAATGCAAGAAATTAAGAAGATAATAGGTCTATGAAACAGGAAAAAAAGCAATAGAACATAATTGTTCTGCAACTGTCTTATTTAATTATTTTTTTTTTATTTTTTTTTTAATTGTTTTTTCGTATTATGAATGAACAAGAGGGGTAAAACTCAAATTCGGAGTGTGCATCTCTTAAATACAAAATGGAGCGTGGGTTTCAAAAGGTATTGTATCGTTTTGAGGATCTATATGTATCCCCTGCTCTGATTGTATTTTCTTGTTTCTAGCTATCTATATATGGGTCTGTTTTTTTTTTTTTTTTGTAGAGGTTGGTGTATGCATAATTCTGAGGTTCTCCGGTTTTATTTTGCAATGTTTTACTCTTTATGTAACCACCAGAATGAAAAAGAACACCAATGATGAAGACATTTCTCGGTCTACTTTCCAATGAAGTAGTGTGTATTATTGTTCTCTTTTTTTGCCCTTCAAACCAAAGGAATTCTTGGTGGTTGTGCCTCTCTCTCCATCTCTATTTATCTATATGTGTGTGTAAACAAAACAAAAAAACAATTCGAAGTCTAGCAAAGGTTTTTCTTTGATTATAGCATAATAAAAAGTGTAAATAACACAAGGTAAGTGGTCGAGATTTGCTTTGCACCTATAGGTTGGCTTTTTTTTAGTATATTGTGGTGTTCCTGCATTAAGGAACAATAAAAGTGTACAAAGAAGAAATAGCTTTCGATTTTCTACTATTTGTTTATTGTTTTACTCATTATGTTGCGTCTGTGCGAGAACGTTGAAGAAGCACTTGGACTTAGTAAGAGGTGGCAAATTCCACTTCTAATCTTTGTCCACAGCAGTCTACCAGAGTCTGCCACACATACAGATACCGCTAATGAGAGTGCGGACCCTGCTCTTTCAGGACTATTTACTGCCAAAAACCATGGAAAGAAGACTGTGAATGCAAATTTTAATATAGGGAGCGAGTCCCTGGCCCACAATGGGGCTGCACAGCGACATGCATTTGAAGTGGTATTGCAGGAGTCTCGTCTCTCTTCTGTAACGGTGGTGCATTTCATGGATGCAGCATCATCAGCACATGAACTCTTTATTGCCGCCGTGCCGGAATCCAGCCAAGTGGTTCCCCGTCTTCATGTGTTTCCTGCATCTCAGCAAATGCTGCCGCGAAACGTATTACATGGTGGGACTCTCACGCCTGGATATATATCTGAAGCCGTTCGGTTTGTGCTTCGTATGCCACCGTTAACCAAAGTAACAGAATTGATGGGAGAGTTTGTGCAGCATGTGGAGGAGGTGAATACGGTGGTCCGTCAAACAACAGCAGCGGCAGCGGGTTCCTATGGTTCTCACATCCTCCCGAGCACGCGTCCCACAGCAAGAGGAGGAGATGCAACAGTAAGCAGTGATACCCCCCAAACAGGGTCCGTTGCGGCTGCGGCGCTCCCCGCTGTGGATCGCAAAGATCTTCACTTCATCGCACTTAATGGACTTGAAAAGCGAGAGGTGATTGTGACATCACCTGGTATGACACTGCGTACCGTGTGGATGAAAGTACAACAGGCACTTATGCGGAGACGAGAGGCATCCGATGCGGGAGTGGAAATGCGTCCACGATCAGGGATATCATTTGTGCTACGTGTGGAGCCGCCCACAACAGCAGAGAATACCAACAATGAGGGGGTGGTGGTATTAAGTTCCATCGAAGAAGCATCAAAGATGGATATTCATAAACTTCCACACAACACGGTGGTGACAGTGGTGCAGAACGATTCTCCTGCAGGACATACTCCTCCACCACCAGCAACGACAACAACAACAACAACGCAGCCAGGGGGTACAAAGAGTGGCAACCCGTCAGTTCAGGTGAACGAAGAAGAGAGCTCAAAGAAAAGTCAAGGTGCTGCGGGTGTACAGTGTGAGGGAGGCGTATGTAAAGTGCCATTACCGACCTCAACTAAAACCGTGAAGTCTGAAAGAAAACAGGAAGAGGAGGAAAAACAACAACAACAACAACAACCTGTCTCATCACCTCCTGCCAGTACCTCCGCTATGATGGAGAATGAGGAAGAAACGAGAAAACCAACAGCAACAACAACAGCGTCGTCATCGTCCTCTGTGAATATACGCTGTTCCCTCCCAGACGGCAATACACACACAGTGGCTGCACTAGATCCTACTGTCGCCACACTTGCTACGGATGTGCGCCCAGAGATCGCCCCTTTGGTTGGAAATGCCTCATTTGTAATGGCGTGTGCTTATCCCCCACACCGCTTTACTGCAGAAGAGGAAACAGAAACACTGGAAAAGATCGGACTTCGCACATCATGTGCACTGCGGGTGGTGCTCACAGGCGGCGCCTCCTCATCCACTGCCTCTGTCCCACGCCATGTTGACGCCGCAAGTTTTGGATTAATGAATTTAGTATCTTCTCTTCTTGGTCGCGGAACTGCCCCGCGACCCACAGCACCTGCTCCTGCAAATATGAATGTAAATGCTAATCCGACTGGGTCAAACACGGCAGCCACACGTAGTGGTGGTCGGTTTCGCACAATGGCGGAGCTCCGCGCAGCGGAGGAGGAGGAAGAGAACAGGCGGGAAGCACGCAATGAACAGCAGCGTCGGAAAGCAAATCGGTACTACGGCGGTGGATCTACCGAATACACAGGCAAAAACGATGACGATAACGAGGAGCATAATGAGGACAAGGAAGAAGAAGAGAAGGGGAAAAAAGAGGATGATAAGTACGCAAAGAAAAACGCATAGAGTAAACATTGGTGCTTAAGTACATCTTTTTTCTTTCTTTGTTTTATTTTCGTGGGTGACGCTGAGTGGCTTTGAGTGTGCCCAAGATTTTACCTTGGTGATTCGTTGTGCCTCTTATGCCCTAATGACGTATGGGGCTAGTAAACTATTTTTTGTTTATTTGCGACTGTGCTTTGCTTTATTATTCGTGAGCCCCCTGGCAAGTGTAATCATCTTTTGGAGGCAGCATTTCTTGTAGGGACAGTGGGGCGGCATTTCTGCTGTGCTATGTGCTAGTCTACCGTCACAGGTGCTGTGCTCAACGCAAACTGTGGGCTTGTGTGCAGTAGTAGGGCATCGATCGGCCCAGCTAGAGCTGTACACCGTGGGGACACAGGCACGTATGTCG